ACATCATCAGTAAATACAACTACTCTCACACGTTTGACGTATTTTACACATAATATAATTATTATTATTATTATTATTATTGTTATTTTTATTATAAAATTTGCTTTTTGTAAATAATGGACAATAGGATGGAAACTGAAATCATGTAATGAAATATCCCATGTTCTATATATACCATTAATTTAATGTAAAACTATTTATATATTTCTGGAGCATGACAACTCAGTTGCACTCGTCCTATTTTCACTATGGGAACACGAAAGTACAACCTTTGATCGGAGAAACCTACCCATTGTATGTTAAATAACCTATTTTTCAAGCACGAGCATATTTGCACATTTAAGCTGACCGGTGTAGCAGTAGCTTGGCGCATGACAATATTTTGTGAAAGAGCTGAGGTTAATTGGTTAACATTTATACGCATATTCCTAATATTTGTATTATAGACCTGACGTGAAGTTGTGTTACTAAACATGTGTCTTCATCTAGTAATTATCACATCCTATGTATGACTTAGGGAGCGTAAACGTCAGTAGTTGAGTGCATCGTCCTAGGACCACTTTTGACCTTTGACCTCTGCGCAGGGCATTGTGGGTCAAGGATGGCGTCACGATGACGTCACTTCCGGTTCCGAGTGGGCCATCTCCCCATCCAAGAGGGCGGCACGGTGCCTCCAAGAGGGCGGGAAGGCGGCGGCGGCAAACGAGATTTACTTCGTGACTACAAACAGACGTTTATCAATATGATTATGACGTTGTCACTCGCTCACCCACGCCGAGGAGTTGGCACTCGTGTATGTCTACATGCGTACTGTCACTCGTGTCTCCATGCAAACGTGATGTACTTCGTGTCTCCATGCAAACGTGATGTACTTCGTGTCTCCATGCAAACGTGGTGTCACGCTTGACTACGAACAGACGTTTTTGAAGTATAGATCGATAGACATGCGTGACGTTGTCACTCGTTCATCCACGCCGAGGAAGTGGCACTCGTGTATGTCTACATGCGTACTGTCACTCGTGTCTCCATGCAAACGTGATGTACTTCATGTCTCCATGCAAACGTGATGTACTTCGTGTCTCCATGCAAACGTGATGTACTTCGTGTCTCCATGCAAACGTGATGTACTTCGTGTCTCCATGCAAATGTGATGTACTTCGTGTCTCAATGCACACGTGATGTTCTTCGTGTCTCCATGCAAACGTGGTGTCACGCGTGTCTCCATGCAAACGTGGTGTCACGCGTGTCTCCATGCAAACGTGGTGTCATGCGTGCCTTCAAACAGACGTTTTTAAATAGTAGTATTTACAAACATACAAAGATACATGGTGTCACTCGTAGGCGTGTACCTCCAAGAGGACTGGGAAGGGTGTGGGTTCTTTTTGATTGTTGTTTGTATTGGCAAAGCAAAGGATGAAAGCGTTCTTTCGGTCCACGGACATTGTTGACCTTTGGTCTGGCACGTCAGACAGCTGCATCGACAGCTCATTCAGTGCTAGGACTGTGACGGTGTGCGTGGCTTCGCTCTTTTTAATTTTTATAGGACAGGCATTGAAACCCTGCTTCCTGAAGGGTTGAAAACGCAGCACGTCTATGGATCCGTTCCGGCACCTTGTCTGAGCCAAACCGGACAGACCCTTGTGATGGATGTACAGTCAGTCTGCCTTCAAGAGTGTACAGTCAGTCTTACTGAGTTGTACAGTCGGTCTTACAAGGGTGTACAGTCAGTTTGTCTTACAAAGGTGTACAGTAAGTCTACAGGGGTGTACAGTCGGTCTAACAAGGGTGTACAATCAGTCTGTCTTACAAGGGTGCACAGTAAGTCCTACAGGGCTGTACAGTCAGTCTTATAGAGTTGTTCAGTTGGTCTTACAAGGGTGTACAGTCAGTCTTACAGGGTTGTACAGTCGGTCTTACAAGGGTGTACAGTCAGTTTGTCTTACATGGGTGTACAGTAAGTCTACAGGGGTGTACAGTCGGTCTTACAAGGGTGTACAATCAGTCTGTCTTACAAGGGTGCACAGTAAGTCCTACAGGGCTGTACAGCCAATCTTACAGAGGTGTACACTTAGTCTTACAGGGTTATACACTCAGTCATACAGTGGTGTACAGTCACTCTTACAGAGTTGTACAACCAGTTTTACGGGGTTGTACAATCATTCTTAAGGACTGTACAATCATTCTGAAGGACTGTACAGTCAGTCATACAGAGTTTTACAGTTTTTCTTACAGGGTTGTACAGTCAATCCCAAGAAGTTGTTCAGTCAGTCTTACAGTGGTGTACACTCGGTTTTACAGGGTTGTACAGTCAATCTTACAGTGGTGTACACTTAGTCTTGCAGGGTTGTACAGTCAACCTTACAGTGGTGTACACTTAGTCTTATAGGGTTGTACAGTCAATCTTACAGTGGTATACACTTAGTCTTACAGGGTTGTACAGTCAATCTTACAGTGGTGTACACTTAGTCTTAAGGGTTGTACAGTCAATCTTACAGAGTTGTACAGTCAGTCTTACAGGGTTGCACAATCATTCTTAAGGGCTCTAAAGTCAGTCTGACGGGGTGTACAGTCAGTTTTACAGGGGTGTACAGTTAGTCTTACAGTGGTGTACACTCATTCTTACAGGGGTGTACAGTCAATCTTACAGTGGTGTACACTTAGTCTTACAGGATTGTACAGTCAATCTTTCAGTGGTGTACACTTAGTCTTACATGGGTTGTACACACAGTCTTACATGGATGTAAAGTCACTCTAAAGGGTTGTACACTTAGTCTTACAGGGTTGTACACTCAGTCTTACAGTGGTGTACAGTCAGTCTTACAGGGTTGTACACTCCGTCTTACATGGGTGAACAGTCACTCCTACAGCGTTGTACAGTCAGTTTTACGGGGTTGTACAATCAGTCTTTAGGACTGTACAGTCAATCTTACAGAGTTGTACAGTCAGTTTTACGGGGTTGTACTATCATTCTTAAGGACTGTACAATCATTCTTAAGGACTGTACAGTCAGGCTTACAGAGTTTTACAGTCTGTCTTACAGGTTTGTACAGTTAATCTTAAGAAGTTGTTCAGTCAATCATACAGGGGTGCACAATCAGTCTTACAGTGGTGTACAGTCACTCTTACAAGGGGTGTATAGTCATCTAAAGGGGTGTACTGTCAGCTTTACGGGGATGTACAGTCAGTCTTACGGGGTTGTAGAGTCAGTCTTACAAGGGTGTACAATCAGTCTGTCTTACAAGGGTGCACAGTAAGTCCTACAGGGCTGTACAGCCAATCTTACAGAGGTGTACACTTAGTCTTACAGGGTTATACACTCAGTCATACAGTGGTGTACAGTCACTCTTACAGAGTTGTACAACCAGTTTTACGGGGTTGTACAATCATTCTTAAGGACTGTACAATCATTCTGAAGGACTGTACAGTCAGTCATACAGAGTTTTACAGTTTTTCTTACAGGGTTGTACAGTCAATCCCAAGAAGTTGTTCAGTCAGTCTTACAGTGGTGTACACTCGGTTTTACAGGGTTGTACAGTCAATCTTACAGTGGTGTACACTTAGTCTTGCAGGGTTGTACAGTCAACCTTACAGTGGTGTACACTTAGTCTTATAGGGTTGTACAGTCAATCTTACAGTGGTATACACTTAGTCTTACAGGGTTGTACAGTCAATCTTACAGTGGTGTACACTTAGTCTTAAGGGTTGTACAGTCAATCTTACAGAGTTGTACAGTCAGTCTTACAGGGTTGCACAATCATTCTTAAGGGCTCTAAAGTCAGTCTGACGGGGTGTACAGTCAGTTTTACAGGGGTGTACAGTTAGTCTTACAGTGGTGTACACTCATTCTTACAGGGGTGTACAGTCAATCTTACAGTGGTGTACACTTAGTCTTACAGGATTGTACAGTCAATCTTTCAGTGGTGTACACTTAGTCTTACATGGGTTGTACACACAGTCTTACATGGATGTAAAGTCACTCTAAAGGGTTGTACACTTAGTCTTACAGGGTTGTACACTCAGTCTTACAGTGGTGTACAGTCAGTCTTACAGGGTTGTACACTCCGTCTTACATGGGTGAACAGTCACTCCTACAGCGTTGTACAGTCAGTTTTACGGGGTTGTACAATCAGTCTTTAGGACTGTACAGTCAATCTTACAGAGTTGTACAGTCAGTTTTACGGGGTTGTACTATCATTCTTAAGGACTGTACAATCATTCTTAAGGACTGTACAGTCAGGCTTACAGAGTTTTACAGTCTGTCTTACAGGTTTGTACAGTTAATCTTAAGAAGTTGTTCAGTCAATCATACAGGGGTGCACAATCAGTCTTACAGTGGTGTACAGTCACTCTTACAAGGGGTGTATAGTCATCTAAAGGGGTGTACTGTCAGCTTTACGGGGATGTACAGTCAGTCTTACGGGGTTGTAGAGTCAGTCTTACATGGATGTACAGTCAGCCTTATATGGGTGTACAGTCAATCTTAAAGGATGTACAGCCAGTCTTACAGTGGTATACACTTAGTCTTACAGGGTTGTACAGTCAACAGACCCTGACAGACCCTTGTGATGGATGTACAGTCAGTCTGCCTTCAAGAGTGTACAGTCAGTCTTACAGAGTTGTGCAGTCATTTTTAAGGGATGTACAGTCAGTCTCAAGGGCTGTACAGTCAGTTGATGTAAGTTAATTGAACCGTAGAAGGTTACCGACAATATTACCTGAGCGTACTGTCAGTGATCAATCAGTTTTATAATTATGTTTAAATCAATATGGATGTACGGTCAGCCTAACAGGGATGTACAGTCAGTCTTGCATGGGTGTACAGTCAGTCATACATGGGTGTACAGACAGCCTTATATGGGTGTACAGACAGTCTTAAGGGGTGAACAGTCAGTCTTAAGGGGTGTGCAGCCAGTCTTACATAATTGTACAGTCAGTCTTAAGGGATGTACGTCTGTCTTTCAGACGTGTACAGTCAGTCTTACAGGGGCGTACACTCAGTCTTACCGACGTTGTGACGTGGCCGTAACTGGGATGTCCTCTGAGCTTTGCCAACCAACAGCGAAAACTAAGATCTGATTTAATGAGAGGCACGATTGGACACGAATGTGATCGAAATACCCATATCCTGAGCCGTCAACAATCACTCCGCCGCCGCCGCCGCCGCCGCCGCCGCCGCCGCCGCCGCCGCCCTCCCTCCCAGACCTCGCGCTGCCGCCGCCGACGCCTTCGCCTCCCCGCCCTCCCTCCCTTCCGCCACCGCCGCCCTCTTGGAGGCACCGTGCCGCTCTCTTGGATGAGGAGATGGTCCCCCCGGAACCGGACGTGCCACCATCTTGGAGGTGCACGAACCCCGGAACTGGACGTGCCGCCATCTTGGATGCGCACTGCCACCGGAACCGGAAGTGACATCATCGTGACGTCACACCTGACCACAATGCCCTGCGCAGGTCACGTTGGTTGGTTGGTTGGCCGCTCTCAGCAATATTACAGCTATATGACGGCGGTCTGTAAAAAATCGACCAGACAACCAAGTCAGCGAGTCTGATCACCCGATCCCGTTAGTCGCCTTTTCCGACAAGCATAGTCACCTTTTACGGCAAGCATAGGTTGCTGAAGACCTATTCTACCCCGGAATCTTCACGGGTACGCGATGACGTCATCAGAGGTCTATGTGGTCTATGGACGATGCACTCAACTACTAACGTCGAGGATTGGTGAGATTGTATCCTCTAACCGGACATTAATCAGCTGTTTTAATTTGCTTCATTTCATGCTCAGGGAGACAATGTGGCCTCTTGGGATAACAGTGATTGCATGGATGCTTATCCCCACACAAGGTAAGCAGATGAGTTATCTATATTCATTGTGCTGCATGAGGTAGGTCATCGTAGGACTTGTTGGCGGCGCTTCAAGGTTTTGACATTATCATCAAATTAGTTGTTTAATAACGATGCCCATAGATAATGAATGCACCTTATTGTACGTGGGCGTCATGTTTATGCTTTTTTGTTATAATGTTCTTCATAATCATAGATAAACAGTGGTTTTGACTGCATACCAATTGACAAAATCTCTTTATATTGGAGGTGAGGAAAGTGCATTAGAAAAGAAACTTATGAAATGTGCGTCCCCCTGTTGAAAAGTCACTCATGACCTGTCCTTACACTGCTCATTGTATTTCTATATCTCCTTCGCAAGATTGCAGACTTGCAGACCGCATCGCCAAGACTTGTGGCATTATTTTCCCAAACCCGACCAAATACACGATTATGTTGTCGAGACTTGTCTGACTGGCATAAGAAGTTAAGCTGCTTCTACTGGATTGCTGGCAACACTTTTCCACATTACATCACACACGCTGTGATATGACTGGAATACTGTTAAAAGCGGCGTTAAACCCAACTCACATTACATCACCCAATTGTGTGTGTTGTTGCAGTAACTTTCTTGATCAAATATGTATAGCAAAATATATCTTTATCATATTCTTTTCTAGGTGCTAACTGTTGGAGTATTCAGCAATGCTCCGAGTGTGATGCGCAGACACAAGGATGCCTCACAGAGTGCCATAGGGGATATTTCGGCGCCACATACAGGGATGTTTGCAGCACAAGGTGCAGGAACAACACATGTCACCTGCTTCCTGATAGGGGTATTGGGAGATGTACTTATGGCTGCATCCCGGGATTCCAAGGCTCAAACTGCCAGAGGCCATGTTACAATAACAATGGCAACTGTACCAGATGCCCAGGTGGATGTGATGGCGAGTATTGCCAGATGGGTGGAGTTTGTTTCTCTGGCTGCAGCGACTCATACCACGGAGCAGGATGTAGGACGTGTTCCAGCAGATGTAAGTCCTGCAACAGGATCACAGGAACATGTGAGGAGTGTCAGCCTCCATATTCTGGACTGGACTGTAGATCCTCGTGTGAGCACTGTGTCGGTGGATGTGAGAGTGGCTGCCAACAGGGATGCAGACAAGGATTCTATGGAGACAACTGTACTGAAGCATGCAGTGACACCTGCCGAGCTGATCCCTCCCTGTCTACTGATGAACAATGTCCTGAGGGAGACTCATGTACCCCAGAGTGCCACAGCCAGACTGGCGAGTGTGTTCACGGTTGTGTAGATGGCTGGTACGGCCCGAAGTGTTCAAGGCGATGCAACTCTGACTGCACACATCAAAGGTGTAACCGCGCAGGTGCGTGTATTGAAGGATGTGCACAGAGACATATTAAGTATGGATGTGAACGATGCCTGGAGAAGTGCCTCAACCTCACCTGTGCCTTAAACATCGGACCTTGTTGCAATGGTTGCAACAGTGGTTTAGCTGGGGATGGTTGCAACCTATCATGCAATTTATGTCAGGATGATATTACTGACACAAGCTCCAGTTTATGTATACCTGTGTACAACATCACTCGATACACGTGTAGGTACAACTGCACAAACAACGCCTCATTATCTAATTGTTCTACGGGATCCTGTGACACAGGTAAGCCATGCTGAGAGCTCTGACAGACCGCCATTTAATATTGATCTTTGGACACTGAAGCTTGTTTCAGCGGTCACAGCAGTTGGAGATAGTTGTAATTAGTTCTCTCGAGGGTGTTTGTGACCAGGAGTACAGGAGTATAGTTTGTTTGTTTGTTTGTTTGCTTGATGTATACAGGAATGTGGTATCACTAGCAATCTCCTTCTGGATCCTTTAAAATGGGTTAACCTGGAACTTGTAAAAGTTTTTAAATCGTAGAATGCAAATATGGGAAACCAAGTCACGCTTTGATACATGACCGAGTACTATTGTATCACACTTCCTTCGATCGATGCAGTATGGACTCTTTGTGATTTACAATCCGGAGCATGTTAAAATACATACACCCACTCACTTCTTGGCAGACACTATGTTCCATGATTGTGATTTGTTACCTATTTCAGACGTGCAGAACCCAGAGGCCTCCAACACTGTGACCTTGACACTAGTTGTGTTGAATATTATTATCATCCTTGTGGCTAGTTTCACATGTTACGTCTGTTACCGTAAAGGATTGAGTACGAAAAGGTTTGTTCTTGTCGAGGAAGTTCCAGCCTTTGGTGTCCGCATTTCACTTGTGAGCTACAACCGAACATGCTCTTTCTACGAGCGTATAAGTTTGTTCAAAACTTGTTAGATCAAACTGACAACATTCACGGCCTTTGTAAAGCCTAGTTGGAAGCGCACAACATACTTTGTTTCAAGCGGATATTTCTAATGATTACGGTTGGTATTGACTATATATAGTGTAAAATGGCATGTTGTTATCATCGAGTAACCGGACAACGTTGTGATGTAAACGATTGGTAGATGGAGAGACGTAAAGTAAAATATCAAATCTATTATCTTTTTTAATACAACACATGACCGCTAAATACACAATTGATAATTTAAAACATCAATGCATAATTGTGCGTGTGCATTAATAAATATGTTGTTCTTGTGTTTGACAAAATGAAACATTCTGTTTACAGGAAACACGGTGCTAATGATGAGGCCGTGAACGCGGCACAGACAGATGCCCCCAGCAGGGAGTACATGTCACTACATCACTATGAGGATATGACTGAGGGAGACAGAGTTGGTCAGCTACCAGACGAGATCCAAGAAGGCGCCAGTACAGAGCAGTGTCGACTTGTTCCTGTCACAGAATTTTCCCTTGATTGATATCGTAGATGACGTCAGTCCAGATAGCTATGCCAGGAGCTCACTGTCATAAAAACAGCTGATCTGTGAGCACTATGTTTGGTCTTTGCATGCATAAAACATACTATTCTGATCCTGCAATGAAAATGTGCTGTGCACCTAGGAACCTGCAGACGAAAGCTCTAACTTCTTTAACGTGAAACAGATCACACGAAAATATCAGTTGATTTAACTTTTATAAAGCAAAATGTTATGGAAACAAATAACCTCCAAAATTGGCGTTGAACGTATTCTATCAAACATATGCTTTCTGAAAAATACAACTCTTATAACCTATTATTCAAATTTAATTATTTATGTTTTGAAATTTATTCTATAGGAATACAACTTGTGTTGGTTTATTTAGATACTTTACCGTGGCTGCTGCCTTAGGCTTATACGGCGGGCGTATTCAATGTCATATTTTACACAATAGAACACATTGCTTGACGTCATGTCAGTCAATGCTCAAGTGTCAAAACAACGATGTCGTAAAATGTTGTAAAAGAGATGCACTGTGAGCGTTATAGACTACCTATAGTGGAATTATGAATCAATGTTAAGTCATCTTAGTGATATGCTTTCTTCGAACATGTAAAATACTGTACATATATTTCACATGGTCTTCTTTGTTTCCGCATTTCAATACGTTTGTATTTTGCCTTATCGCTACATTACGATTTTGTCATGTAAATGTAATTACTCAATATCATTTGCTTTTTGTTTATTGTTTCACACCGCACTCTAACTGTGCGACAGCCAGAAACTCCAGTGATTGACATCATCAGCTTCGATCCAGGCATTTGGCATACGATGACACGCAAGTCACCGAGCCTGACCACCCGATCCATTTATTCGCCTGTTATTGAGGGTGCACAGGTGGCCCAGTCGTCTAAGGCACCGCGACTCGCTGTGCATAGTTGCTGCGTCCCTTGGGCACGCCAGAAGTCTATGATTGTGGGTTAGAATCCCGGTTCGCCCCAATTATGTTTCTACGTTTGTCAGCACCATACCTGTTCTCGTGGAGTAGGTCATGTTAAGCACGTGTTTGTTGATTATTTAATGCTGCTCTCAGAAATAGTATAGCGACATCTGGAACTAACAATCAGTAATTGGGGTTTTCCTGGAAATGGTGAAAATTTTTGAACGATGTGCTATGACACGCGAGCCACACGATTAAACTCATAACAAGCATAGCTTAGTGGATATTTCGTTAGGTAAACCGCACGACAAGCATATCTTAGTGGATATATTGTTACGTACACCCAACGACAAGCATAGCTTAGTGGATATATCGTTATGTAAAGCGCATGACAAGCATATCTTAGTGGATATATCGTTATGTAAAGCGCACGACAAGCATATCTTAGTGGATATATCATTATGTAAAGCGCATGACAAGCATATCTTAGTGGATATATCGTTAGGTGAACTGCACGACAAGCATATCTTAGTGGATATATCGTTACGTACACCCATAGACAAGCATAGATTAGTGGATATATCGTGACGTACACCCCACGACAAGCATAGCTTAGTGGATATATCGTTATGTAAAGCGCAAGACAATCATAGCTTAGTGGATATATCGATACGTAAACCGCACGACAAGCATATCTTAGTTGATATATCGTTACGAAAACCGCACGACAAGCATAGGTTTCTGGACAAGGGCATAAACATACGTAAATCAAACGACATGCATATATTGTGGAGTAGCATATGAGTTGAAATAGATTCGGTTTCAGTTCGGGTCGTACTTCACTCTGGGTTGGGTGAGTGGGTGAGTCATGTTCGTTTACCGCCGCTTTAATCAGAACTTCAGTTATATCACATGGAGGAAACCTGAAGTGTTGTATGGATTTGAACCTCGAGTGATACATCGAGGGGAATCAGTAGATAGATGAGTAATTACCCGAAATGAGATCACATTACACACACACACACAGAGACACACACATACATGCACACACATAGACACACACAGATACAGACACACAGACATTGACACACACAGACAGACACACACACACATAGACACACACAGACACACACACATTGACACACATAGACACACACTCACACATAGACACACACAGATACAGACACACAGACATTGACACACACAGACAGACACACACACACACATAGACACACACAGACACACACACATTGACACACATAGACACACACACAGACACACACTCACACATAGACACACACAGATACAGACACACAGACATTGACACACACAGACAGACACACACACACATAGACACACACAGACACACACACATTGACACACATAGACACACACACAGACACACACTCACACATAGACACACACAGATACAGACACACAGACATTGACACACATAGACAGACACACACACACATAGACACACACAGACACACACACATTGACACACATAGACACACACACAGACACACACTCACACATAGACACACACAGATACAGACACACACACATTTACACACACAGACACACACACACATAGACACAGACACGCACACCGTATTCGTCTACTAAATAAGAAGTAAAGTGTTGGTATCACTGCTCCATAAAGTCTTCCGTTTGAGTTGTGGATGTAAGAAATGTCCCAACAAATTTGATCTCAGCAACCTCTCCTATTAATACAGCCCCACTTTAACAGTTCCTTTCTCCCGAATTTCATACTTCAAGTGGTTAATACTATCGTCTCGTATATTAAAGAGGTAAATAGTGATTACTACTCGAATATCAGTTAGATACCATTTATCTTACAACGAGTTATTTCATTAATACGCTTTGAAAGTTGTAAGATAACTAGTACCTGACAAGCATGAGAGCAGTAATCTGTTTCTTACACACCCTAAAATCGCCCCCTTTTAGCATAATACACCGGTCAAAAGTGACGTCATCCGATGTGCTTACTACTCATAAACAATGTGACCCAACACAAAATGGTTTCAGCCATATCAGTAGATTATCAAGGCGATGACGATAATGCAAACTAGTGAATACTTTTCCTTCAAAGAAATTACCAAACATGTACAATAACGTTTACTTAAGTATGACATCATCACCGGTGACCGACGTTTATGTGGCGCGTTCACTGACATGAGGCGGGAGGATTTCCGTTGACTGAGGGATCGTACGTAAGTGTGTCGTGTTAGTAATCAGAAACAATACGACAATCTTGTACTGTTATTTGTGATTTGTTATATGCAACCAAGAGAATTTGTCAGGAGCGCAGATAACTGGGCCTACCGTCGTCGTTGTGCGTGATTTCGCGTCAGCTATGGCGTCACACAGGACGGAAACTTTTACGATTTCTGTTGAATTTACCTGATCATTGTAATGTATCTACTTGTAATTCCATAATTAGTGTCGCAATACTCTTCCCATGAATATGTTTAAACGCGTGAGCCAATGTATGCAACAATTAGACGAATGGATAGCTCTAATAGGAGAAAATGCTACACAGTGTAAAATCTGAATTACGACATACCTAATTTTCAGAGGTCACGTCAAGTAACAACCAACTGGGGCCCTCGCTGCTAGTTGATTAGACCCCTGTGACCTCTACCCCTCATCCTCAGCCCGTCTAACCTCTCTGGGCAGTGACTTCGTCTTCCCCTGTGACCTCTACCCCTCACCCTCATCCCGTATCACCTCTCCGGGCAGTGACTTCGTCGTTCCCCGTGACCTCTACCCCTCACCCTCACCCCGTCTCACCTCTCCGGGCAGTGACTTCGTCGTTCCCCGTGACCTCTACCCCTCACCCTCACCCCGTCTCACCTCTCCGGGCAGTGACTTCGTCTTTCCCCGTGACCTCTACCCCTCATCCTCATCCCGCCTCACCTCACCGGGAGGTGACTTCGTCTCTCTGCGTTTACTTGCATTTGAAGAAGGTTGAGCACACAGTGTAAATTTCCCTGAATTAGCGTGTCGACATTTGATATGCCAACGGATATGATATTCCAAATGCAATGTAAACTGTGAGGCCCATAGTTTCCAGTTAGGAAGCTGCCTCATGCCTAGGTTACAGTTTAGATTATCTCTATGAAACCGAGAGATGTTGCCGTAAATTATCTTTCCTTCAAAAGACTTTACATGTTCAGGAAGTAAAACACTCTCTTTTAATTTGTGACTAAATAATACTCTTATTGTCGTTTCTTAAACACAGGCGTAAACTGAACAGGTAGTTTGGTGGACATGACTTCATGATTGGTCTGTTTAATCCACGAACACTTACAGGCTTGACATGCACACCCACCACCAGGCATGGAAAGCATATGTAGCTGGTATGCGCACTTTCTGTACAATCATGTTTCACATTTCATTACAGTGTTTATATCCACAGGAACGTAAGGAACGTATGCCTAAAAAATGCAATATATGAATGAGATGCAACATATGAATGTGTTCAAACCACATCATCGTAAAATACACCTTTCGCACCAATCTTTTCTCCTTGTAAATCATTTAGAGATATCAATTGCAAATGCCTCGAAATCGTTCGCAAAGGTTTCCCAAAGCTGATGAAGTATGTTATTAATTTCATTTTTAAAAATTGAAGAGGCATGTCATGATATAGTCAAATGACATTTGACCACCGTTTCAAATAAAAATCTTGAAGTGTTAAGTTTAACGTCATTTGAACCGGGTGATGTAAGATTTTACTCGTCATTTACGACTGATCTCACTTTAGTTTTACCTTTACATTTGGGTCTACCTTACAAGATGGACTTGCAAATGAAGAAAACATATCTAAATCAGTTTAGCTCGTATTTTGTTAACTATACAAAAAACAAATATGGAACAAAAAACACATGTTTAGAACAACAATAAGTTTATTACAAACTGAAAGACATGCATACAAACGGTACAATAACAAGATTAAGCAACTCTTTAAAGCAAATAAGGCGCCTCATTCGACTTTGGTATTTTTATGAAGCCTTTTCCTAGTATATGAGCATGACCACGTCTTAGATGCTCACTTGAAGTTAAAACAATCTGCCATTTTCTCACATTGAAGCCATATCGATATATGTATCCACTTCAGAATTCTCAAATTCTCACGTGTCAGAAAGAGAAAGGCTAATTGCCAGTCATTTGAACATGCCTGATAGTTTTCCGCACCTTTATAATTTGACATATAAAAGAGTACAGTGCTCCAGTATCGTTAACAAACTGCTGTTAGTTACTTGTGAGCAGCTTTCTTACACTAATTAAGGTCTCGCTATCTTTGTTCATCACTGAGACGACTTGATTTTAACATCCCTAAACATCATATTATAAAGAACCCTTTAGTGGTGTTTCCCGTCTTGATAAAACTGGAATACTGCAAAAAGCAGCATAAATTTCACCCAAACAAATAGGTAACTTATCAGTTTCACCTTTTGACGGCGGCATCAGTGGCTGATCTTATTTTGACCTCACTTGTCAAACCTTTGCTACAAATATAACAATTTCTTGATACATCCAACAACATGTCTAAGGTGTTAATGGCAGACAGTGTACCATCTTTTGGTATGACACAGCACGGGGGTAGAACGATCGATGTTCCGTTCTCCTGGCAGAGGCTGTCAACCAGAACATGGAAGTGTCCTACACTGATTTATGTATACATAGAAGAATACGCATGAATAACAGGGAGTGTAAGTCATCCTTTTTTAAAGGTTTGCAAACCACTTTATCTCTGCTTTATCCGACCTTTGACCGTGATTGATCACACCTTTCAGGGCCCATTCAGTGCTAACAACATACCCTTTGGTAGATATTAGTTTGAAATACCAACATGGATTATCATCAAGTCGAAAGTTCTCATTCCCTACTTCGTATTCTTTCAGAGCACGTACAACCTGTGCTGTAACGTGATGCTCGGGTCCAAGGTGAATGTTGTGTGCTTTATAGATGCGAAATCCGGAGTCGTTAGAAAATCGGAAAGCTATTCTGATTTCTGCACCATGAGCTATGGCATATCTCACTGCCAAGATCGAACCGCTCACAACTGAAGTATTCCTTAGAGTGTGCAACACAAGGTCCCACTTCTTTGTATCCACAAACCAGGTTATTGGCTTCCTCTCTATTGTAGCTGTCTTATGAGTGACGTTCGATGCCCCCACAAGAGGACGATATGTCCTAATAGTTCCTGTAGTACTCACGACCCTGAACTCCCAGTTTAGATCCTCTCTAAAGTACTCTGCATTTCTTTTGGACAAGGATGATACCAAAAACACTGACAGGTGATCACCTGAGCTTCGGATACCTTCTGCCTCCATTATTGTGTTATCAAATTTAACTTTGACGGAATGTCCACAGTCAGCAAAAAATTTTAAATGCATCAATGTGTTACTAAGAGATCCATTTCTCTCAGAGACATGCAGCGTGGTCCAACAGTCATCGACAAACCATTTCATTTTAAAATGCTTACGGTTGTGGAAGATCAACCTGTTATTCCCAATATACCATCTACTTTGGTAATATGAATCTAAAGACGTTAGAATTAGAAAATACCAGTATGCATTGTTCTTAAATATGTAATGATTACCGTATTGATAGTCACTAACGACCCAAATAGCCTCGCAACTGATTTCTCTTGGTTTAGGATGTTTTCTCGGTAGCACCTCGCAGTTGGCAGTATAAAATATGCTACTAATGCAGAAAATAGCAATAGAAGACCCTTGAAGAATATTTGTAGCAAGCGCGTCTGTGTTCTTGACAGAAACATTTCCTTTGTATCCACTTGCAAAAACTGGTGATGGATATCGTATTTTATCCTTTTGCAATGCAAACCACATTATTGCGGTTTTTATGGTTTTATCAGATTTAGCCTTGCCACCAACGAAATATGTTTTCATCTGTATATGCCCTGTGGAACACACCATCATAAACGACCAGGACCCGGATGGATCGAAGTCATCTTCGTTATGGACAGAGACATGTGGCATAGACTGACAGCAAGCATCTGTATCGACCTTTCTGCACATATCGAACTCAGCTGAATTGTGGTAAGTATTATTCAAAACAAATCTGATTCTTCGCCCATGGAGAACGCTCTTTTGTAGGTCTCTTTTCCTTCCTGAAATGACACCACCGTTTTGGTCTGTGTGTAATACTTGCACCCATTTCAGTTTACACGGATCTGTCGAATTAAACAAGAACATGAATATATACAGTTTCATCAAATGAAACCTTATAAATACACCAAAGTGCTATAGAAGTACAAATTTCTAATTTAACTTTCTTTGGTGTCCAATCAGACAGTGGACAATGCGACATCACAACTGGTGTCAACATCAGTCGATGACGATTATTAGAAATGACAAAATAAGCTGACGAGATATATCCATGGGGTGGTCCAAGCATCAGGATATCAAAATGCATCCAAATTGTATGCGGTGCGGCGCTCTTCACTAACGATACGCCTTTCAGCAAGATAACACCCATTCCCTGTACAGCTACATTCACGCAGAGCATCCATAAGCGTCGTAATATAGAGAATGATCTATGCTCAGCATTTCAATCCAAATTTGAGCCAGACTGAACACGTGTGGGTGAGCCCCAATATGCCTAACAAACAACATCCTGTAATGATAAGTAACCAGAACAATTGCCGATAGTTTGGCGTCATTCTACAGACCTTGCATCTCCAGGACATACACGTCACAGCACAAGACTCCAGTTGTGAGTGGTTACCAATAGTTTGTAGGCAGGCTACTTGATTGTTACCGAAAACGTACTTGTATATGCCTTACCGAATCTGTTCTCACTGAATATAAGATAAAAACAATATATTTTTGTCTATACTCCCACGTGTAACCGTCGGTATTCATGTAACACAACTGATAAACTATTGTAAATGGCGTTAAAACTCGACTCACTTAAACATGATTGATGCAGTGCAGAGTTGCCTCACTTTGACGTGTCCGCAGGTTCTAATTCCTCATTATTAACCTTGGAATTATTATTCATATTCTACTGGCTTTCATGGCGACCACTCTGACATATATAAGGGCAACGTCAGTTTGGACTTTCATCTGACATTAATCTGATACTAAAAATCTGCTGAAAGCTGTATTAACGCAACTCACGAACTCACCATCGATGTTATTCAGACACTCAAGTACTAACATGGTACGCGTTATGCAGATGCTAAAGTACTAACAAGGTACGCTCTTACCCCGATTTATCTTCTTCAAATATGGAGTATGCATGTTGAAATGAGAAATTCCGTTTTTAACCCTGACATGTCCGCAGTCCGTCGGTTCCAATTCTTTAAGCATACAGCTTTGACTCAGATGAGTGGAAAGTAATATGAAAGTATGCAGGTCCATCCTTGCTGTGCCACATGAACGTGTTCATATATGTCCGACGTATAAATGATGCCTCTGATAACGATGATTCAGAATGAATACCACCTCACCAATTAGAGGTGTACACGTATAAGCAAAACTGAATATTCAATCACATAGAGAACATGATACATTCAAACTATCAGATTTCCGACGGCGGCACATGACTTGACAGCAGAAGAAAACAATCAATCAGCCTCAAGCAGATGGAGTTGGCGTACAAACAGGGAGAGTAGTCTAGGGCCAATCTAGTCTGGCATTCCAAACAATTGCATTCGAATCCTACAAACCCTTTGTCTGTCAACTCACATTTTTAGGTATACTAATCTAGCAATTCGAGACGAGTTTAATTACACAAACACCCAAACGCTTACACAAACACATAAAAGCATACACACACAAGAGAAATAGTACTACATGGCGGAGCTCCCATGTCAGATACGACGAAAATGTATAGTTCTTTTACACAGAGTAAAATGCTAAAATTCTTTGGAATAGATCCGTATACAGCCTTCATGGATAACTATCAAATATGATTAAATTATGAATCATACTCAATCATATGTAACATTCTCTTTTCATGTTATTCGGTCTTACCAAGAGGGGCAGTAGGGTAACCTAGAAGTTAAAGTTTTTGCTCGTCACGCCGAAGACCCAGGTTCGATTTCCGACATGGGTACAATGTGTAAACCGCATTTCTGGTGTACCCCCGCCGTGATATTGCTGGAATAATAATAAAAGCGGAATTAAACCGTACTCACTCATTCACTCACTCTTACCAAGAGGATTTTGTGATTTAGCGATTCACGTTTAGTAATTTCATGTGATTGTGTTCAAACCATATCACAAAATGTAATGAGAACCACAAAGTATCACAAGACACATATGACATCTGCGCCATACAGAGGAGACAGTGCCGTAACCAGTGCCATGTGTAAAATTAAGACATTAGTGAGTGCAAGTAGGAAAACATAATACCTAAGTGTTGGATTGTTCTGAATGAAAATAGACAGAGGACACACACAGAGGACTACCCAAGCCAAATCTCCCAGTACAGCAAATGACGGTAATAACTAACTCAAAAGGACCACTCATTTTAGTTCCTTATAACCGTAGTTCGTTATAAGCATATACACCTCTCATACAGCAAATGTTCGGGACAACAAAGATAAATTCGGTATATCCGTCAGTTCGTTATAACCGTGTTCTTTCTAAACGTTGTTAATCATAATTGGTTCTCCTGAAACAGAGTTACAAACAATAAAGAAGTAGTCGATAAAAAGTGGACAATCTGAAGGCTATTCCTGGAATTTCATCAATTGCCCTTTATCTTTATGTGAGACGGAATGCCATCTCCAGCAAGTGCATCCAGTTGCCTGGCGACTTTTGGCATCTTTTCAATTATTGACATCCAAGTTGAAAACAATCCTCATCCTTGATTGTCTGGTTTCTTAACAGGTCATCGTTGCATGGCAGTACAATATATACTGAATAACAAAAGTTCCTGTGACATTGAAAAAGATTTAATGCCAAGTTATTTTTTTTACCAAATCTGAAACAATTTTGGTTTGCAACAGATAAAAGACTCCTGTAAGTGTTCAAATTGTTTAATTTGCCATACTGACTTCCGAAAATGCGTGATTTTTGCGTACGGTTTGTGAAGATATTCGTCGAAGGCCAGGGATGCTTCTTGCAGTCACTGTTGCTGGCTGGAATCGATTTCGTAGGTGTGTTGTTCGAATCCACTTGTCTTGTCGATTATTGGTTATGCGTGGCCTGCCACTGCGAGGATGGTCTCTGACTGCATTCGACTGTTGCCAACGTTGCCATAAACACCAGATGGTGTTTCTGTGTCTTGCAACATCACGTTGACTGATCCTGCTTCAAGCATACCAAAGGCTCGCAGACGCTCATTTTCTGATGGGCGTGGCATTTCGTAATGTTAAATAATTGCGTAATTTTGTCGTCTTTCTGAGTGGTTGTTGTCAGCACGATGCTAAACAATGCATATGGAATCCTGTTAACGCACATGTTTTATACCCGTTCTTGGGTAGTGAAATGCATGGGGATTGCATAAAAGTCAACTTTTGCATGGAAAGCATGCTTTTCTGTAGCAGTTGCGTTTATGTGACTTGATTCCATACATGTGCTACAATATTGAAAACCAAACTTTACTTGTTTGAAAAATACACTAAAATATTGGTGTCACAGGAACTTTTGTTGTTGTGTATATTACAAAGTCATATTATCACAAATCCAACCCTGCAAGTTGTGTGATTAATCCTTTTTAACGAGTTCGCACCTAATATTGAACTTTATGGTGTCTTTAGTTGCCGTATACGGTGACATTTTTAGGTTAGGAGAAAAATCTTGCCTTGCCGAATATTTTTCTAGAATTAGTCAATGTATAGATTTCATCATTTCGCATGAGTGATGACTGGACTTTTGATAACAGCTGCTATGAAGACGTGTCTCTCAAGTGTGTCAAAGCATTAGAGTTGAAGGTTTTCAGGAAGCGTTTGTCTTATAGGTTTGGATAGAAGCATGTTTTTACTTAAGCTGTTTTTGCTGCTTCTTGTCTGAAAACAGCACACAATATGAGCACATGATGAAAGTCTTGAACTTTCTGATATTGGAATTTCCACCGTTCATGATTGCTTCTGCTGGATGCATCTGTACATGGTCATATGTCACCCTCAATTTGGTTATTCAATCATCTTCAGAACACTAATTAACAGAAAGAGAGCAAGTAGAAACAAAGCAAATGGATCAAATACTTTTACATCTTGCATAGAATACCAATTCCTGCAAATTAAACATTTTGACAGAACATTTTGTAAATGTTACTAACTCGTTTTCAATATTGGCAGGCGCACCTTCTGAAAAATCATGTCTTATAGATCATTCTGTTTTTTATGTTCCAAGGAATGCATCCTTTAATAGCGCAACATATGATCGAGATGCTAGAATTTGTTATGTGCATATATTTATGTCACCCTAAAGTGGGCAATCATGCAGACTAACATTCCAGAATATACCACCACATTGTCGTAAGGAATACAGTTTTTGTGCCGAATGTTTCTGCTCATAAATCAATGAGTGATTTCAAATGTCTTGACAATGTTCACAGAGAATGAACACAAAAGAAAACCAGTGTCTTGAATTTATATCTCGAAATATCAAAGTTCATGTTTTTCCATGTTGGCACTTTACACGCTTCAAACCATCCTGTATTTTATTTATTTATATCAGACTACTCCGATCATCGATCATCGCTATAAGATAATTTGCGAAGCCATGTCATAGCTCACCTAACAGATAGTCAAGTGAGCTTCTGCCATGACCTGCTTGCCCAGCACTCGTCGTCAACGCTGAACTGAGGGAGCGAGAAATTGCCAGGAATGTTCCTCAAACGGTCGCACCTAGGTTCAAGAGGCTCCGATCCCAGTCTTACGAAGAGGACATTGCAATTGTGGCTCGCCCGAGAATGCAGACTGAAGTTGCCTGTAGTTTGATGGCATACCAGAAAGTTTGCCTCCAGGTAACATTATCAGGAACCTGAAGGCATCACTTCCAGCCTAATTACTGGTATATGTTTTTCTAATTATTGAAGCGCATGCCAAAGGCAGTACAGCTCTAAGAGAGAGAGAGTCCAATGCGTCTGAGTACATTATTGAGTAATTGCTGTTTGTTTGTTGTTTTAAAACCGCACTCAGCAATATTCCAGTTATATGGCGGCGGTCTGTTAATAATCGGGTCTGTACGAGATAATCGAGTGATTTACATCATGAACATCGATCAACGTAATTGGGATACGATGACATACACCAACCAAGTCAGCGAGCCTGACCACAGGATCTCGTTATTCGCCCAGTCATCTTTTACAGAAAGCATTGGTTGCTGAAGATCTATTATTGAGGAAGATATTTGCACTTCCGGTTCAATGACATTGACGTTCAGCCAATTTCAAGGTTGGTTATTTGTAATTCTGCCATGACATTGAAGAATGCTTGATTCTGATTGGTTAAAAAGAGGTCTCCGTTTTGCAACAGAAACCTCTTTAAAACATATTAAGCCTTTTTTACACAAAAAAACGTGCATATGAATACCTCGACACCCTACATATAGACCCATAAACAAAGGCTGTCGATCAACAAAAGAATTGTATATCCTATCAATATATTAGACGATGGGTCTCAAATGCAAGAAAGGTTTGTAATACAAGCTGGGTCAACAGCTTTCGTGAAATTAATAGACGACCAAGTGTATGAATACGGTACGTTTGATGTGGGTTTGTTTGGCTGCGACTTTTAATAAGAACCGATTTCTATTTGTTTGATCACTTTACTTGAGAGAATCAGCGTGAAATGACAATAACTAATTAAGTATTGAACAGGTTGAAACACTGGCGTGTTTATAATTATATCCGGTTCCGGTTCCGGTTCCGATTGCTCATGTGCACTGGTACAAGGGACTGTCTATTTTACAAGAGCGTCGTATAGTACAATGTTCCCTTACTCAACCACCACCTTCACGATTTGTCAAGAGAGTATTTGAAAGACCATCGGTAAACACTCCCCCCTTTGAAAGGCCACTCACAAATGTCCCAACATCACTGAAGTCACAGCACAGGCATTTGGTCACACCAGCTTTTCAGAACACGCACAATTACGGAAAATATACACGAACCACTGTGTCAGGCCACAACTGTCACATTTTATTCACGTACTGGCGTCGAATTTCGTTGATATAGATTTTAAAACCCTCATGCCAAAATGCAACCTGGTCGTTCATGATCAGTCATGCTCTGTGTAGTTCTATTGTCAATCACGTTGTACCAGCAGGCTCATCCACAGTTTATCTACATAGGTGAATGTTGATCAACAGCATAGATCGGGGTTGTCATGTTGCTTCGTCAGAGGCATGGAGAGTGTAAACAACAAGGTCGGCAGCCTTTGAAAGTTGTGAGTTGACTTTGTATGTAGGTCAATTTCTGCCACTTCCAAGAGGCATTTATTTCGTATTCGTATTATTTACTGGGGGTTATTGGTAACTTACTAATAAGAAGAACACATGAAAAGTCAATAGAAGAATGTTAATTGATAAAATTTGTTGGAGAAATGTAGCTTTTGCTACAACCCATCAACCCTACAACGGGAAGGGGCATTTCTGTTTGTCTCGCTGGTTTCGGTGAAATGGCTAGGTGAGTCCAAATAGGGCACAACTGGTTTGCAATAAAATTAAAACATATATTATTGGACTGAATTTGGAGAGTTATATGTCAACTGTGTGTTTTGAACATTTATGTTGAACTAATTACGAATTACCTTTTTTTCACGTGGCCTTGACCTACAATGAAGGTCACTCAAAACCGTATCACTATCAGGACACAAGAGGTTATGTAACAAGTTTCATCCCACTACAGTAAACACTTGCAATAACTCAATATATGTTTGGTGATATGTTTGTTTGCTTTGCTACACTTTCCCTCGGCAATATTCCACATAACATTCGAATGAAGCACGGGCAATAACTTACAATCAGGAAAGTACTCCGTTATAATCTGACCTCAGGTCATCACCATGGAATAGCCAATCACGGGCCTGGAAATCGATCTCACGCATCTGTTTGATACCAGTTATCTCAAACGGGTTTCTCACCCACGGGTGTGTAAAAACACAGCCCTCTGGAGTATAAGGACTCCAATCACTAGATTTGCCATTACAAACCTGACGTCAACAACCAACTCGGACTCGGCTGCTAGTTGATTAGACCTTGTCTTCCCCTGGGACCTCTACCCCTCACCCTCACCCCGTCTCACCTCTCCGGTCAGTGACTTCGTCTTCCCCTGTGACCTCTACCCCTCGCCCTCACCCCGTCTCACCTCTCCAGGGAGTGACTTCGTCTTCCCCTGTGACCTCTACCCCTCACCCTCACCCCGTCTCACCTCTCCGGTCAGTGACTTCGTCTTCCCCTGTGACCTCTACCCCTCACCCTCACCCCGTCTCACCTCTCCGGTCAGTGACTTCGTCTTCCCCTGTGACCTCTACCCCTCACCCACACCCCGTCTCACCTCTCGGGGCAGTGACTTCGTCTTCCCCTGTGACCTCTACCCCTCACCCACAACCCGTCTCACCTCTTGGGGCAGTGACTTCGTCTTCCCCTGTGACCTCTACCCCTCACCCTCACCCCGTCTCACCTCTTGGGGCAGTGACTTCGTCTTCCCCTGTGACTCTTCCCCTCACCCACACGCCGTATCACCTCTCGGGGCAGTGACTTCGTCTTTCCCTGTGACCTCTACCCCTCACCCTCACCCCGTCTCACCTCTCGGGGCAGTGACTTCGTCTTCCACTGTGACCTCTACCCCTCACCCTCACCCCGTCTCACCTCTCCGGGCAGTGACTTTAACTGCTCCTCTGACCTCTACCCCTCATCCTCACCCCGTCTCACCTCTCCGGGCAGTGACTTTAACTGCTCCTCTGACCTCTACCCCTCACCCTCACCCCGTCTCACCTCTCCGGGCAGTTACTTTAACTGCTCCTCTGACCTCTACCCCTCACCCTCAAATCGTCTCACCTCTCGGGGCAGTGGCTTCGTCTTCCCCTGTGACCTCTACCCCTCACCCTCACTCCGTCTCACCTCTCCGGGCAGTGACTTCGTCTCTCTGCGTTAACTTGCATTTGAAGAAGGTTGAGAACACAGTGTAAAGTTACCTGAATTAGCGTGTCGACATTTGATATGCCAACGGAAATGATATTCCAATGTAAAATGTTAGGGGCCCATAGTTTCCAGTTAGGAAGCTGCCTCATGCATGGCTTACAGTTTAGATTATCTCTGTGAAACCGAGAGATATATGTTGCCGTAAATTATCTTTCCAACAAAAGATTTTACATGTTCAGGAATTTCAAAACACACTCTTTTGTGACGAAATAATACTCTTATTGTCGTTTCTTAAACACAGGCGTAAACTGGACAGAAAGTTTGATTGGACATGACTTCATGATTGGTCTGTTTAATCCACGAACACTAACAGGCTTGACATGCACACCCACCACCAGGCAATGAAAGCATATGTAGCTGGTATACGCACTTTCTGTACAATCATGTTTCACATTTCATTACAGTGTTTATATCCACAGGAACGTATGGAACGTATGCCTTAAAATGCAATATATGAATGGGATGCAACATATGAATGTGTTCAAACCACATCATCGTAAAATACAGATTTCGCACCAATTTTTTCTCCTCTTAAATCATTTAGAGATATCAGTTGCAAATGCCTCGAAATCGTTCGCAAAGGTTTCCCAACGCTGATGAAGTATGTTATTAATTTCATTTTTTAAAATGGGACAGCCATATCATGATATAGTCAAATGACATTTGACCACCGTTTCAAATAAAAGTTTAACGTCATTTGAACCGGGTGATGTAAGATTTTACTCGTCATTTACGACTGATTCCACTTTACTTTACCTTTACATTTGGGTCGACCATACAAGATGGACTTGCCAATGAAGAAAACATATATATATCAGTTTAGCTCATATTCTCTTAACTCTACAAAAAAAACAAATATGGAACAGCAAACACAAGTTTAGAACAACAATAAGTTTATTACAAACTGAAAGACATGCATACAAACGGTACAACATACAAGATTAAGCAACTCTTTAAAGCAAATAAGGCGCCGTATTCGACTTTGGTTTTTTTTTTTTAAGCCTTTTCCTAATATATGAGCATGACCACGTCTTAGATGCTCACTTGAAGTTAAAACAATCTGCCATTTTCTCACATTGAAGCCATATCGATATATGTATCCATGTCAGAATTCTCAAATTCTCACGTGTCATAAAAGAAAAAGGCTAATTGCCAGTCATTTGCACATGCCTGATAGTTTTCCGCACCTTTATAATTTGACATATAAAAAAATACAGTCTTCCAGTATCGTTAACAAACTGCTGTTAGTTACTTGTGAGCAGCTTTCTTACACTAATTAAGGTCTCGCTATCTATGTTCGTCACACAGGCGACTTGAGTTTGACATCCCTAAACATCATATTATAAAGAACCCTTTCGTGGTGTTTCCCGTCTTGATAAAACTGGAATACTGCAAAAAGCAGCATAAATTTCACCCAAACAAATAGGTAACTTATCAGTTTCTCCTTTTGACGGCGGCATCAGTGGCTGATCTTATTTTGACCTCACTTGTCAAACCTTTGCTACAAATATATCAGTTTGTTGATACATCCATTAACATGTCTAAGTCGTTAATGGCAGACAGTGTACCATCTTTTGGTATGACACAGCAAGGGGGTAGAACGATCGATGTTCCGTTCTCCTGGCAGAGGCTGTCAACCAGAACATGGAAGTGTCCTTTTTTTAAAGGTTTGCAAACCACTTTATCTCTGCTTTATCCGACCTTTGACCGTGATTTATCACACCTTTCAGGGTCCATTCAGTGCTAACAACATACCCTTTGGTAGATATTAGTTTGAAATACCAACATGGATTATCATCAAGTCGAAAGTTCTCATTCCCTACTTCGTATTCTTTCAGAGCACGTACAACCTGTGCTGTAACGTGATGCTCGGGTCCAAGGTGAATGTTGTGTGCTTTATAGATGCGAAATCCGGAGTCGTTAGAAAATCGGAAAGCTATTCTGATTTCTGCACCATGAGCTATGGCATATCTCACTGCCAGGATCGAACCGCTCACAACTGAAGTATTCCTTAGAGTGTGCAACACAAGGTCCCACTTCTTTGTATCCACAAACCAGGTTATTGGCTTCCTCTCTATTGTAGCTGTCTTATGAGTGACGTTCGATGCCCCCACAAGAGGACGATATGTCCTAATAGTTCCTGTAGTACTCACGACCCTGAACTCCCAGTTTAGATCCTCTCTAAAGTACTCTGCATTTCTTTTGGACAAGGATGATATCAAAAACACTGACAGGTGATCACCTGAGATTCGGATACCTTCTGCCTCCATTATTGTGTTATCAAATTTTACTTTGACGGAATGTCCACAGTCAGCAAAGAAATTTAAATGCATCAATGTGTTACTAAGAGATCCATTTCTCTCAGAGACATGCAGCGTGGTCCAACAATCATCGACAAACCATTTCATTTTAAAATGGCTACGGTTGCTGGTCCTAAACTTGTTATTCCCAATATACCATCTACTTTGGTAAAATGAATCTAAAGACGTTAGAATTAGAAAATACCAGTATGCATTTTTCATAAATATGTTATGATTACCGTATTGATGTTGACCAACGACCCAAATAGCCTCGCAACTGATTTCTCTTGATTTAGGATGTTTTCTCGGTAGCACTTCGCAGTTTGCAGTATAAAATATGTTACTAATGCAGGAAATAGCAACAGAAGACCCTTGAAGAATATGTGTAGCAAGCGCGTCTATGTTCTTAACAGAAACATTTCCTTTGTACCCACCTGCAAAAACTGGTGATGGATATCGTATTTTATCCTTTTGCAATGCAAACCACATTATTGCGGTTTTTATGGTTTTATCAGATTTAGCCTTGCCACCAACGAAATAGGTTTTCATCTGTATATGCCCTGTGGAACACACCATCATAAACGACCAGGACCCGGATGGATCGAAGTCATCTTCGTTATGGACAGAGACATGTGGCATAGACTGACAGCAAGCATCTGCATCGACCTTTCTGCACATATCGAACTCAGCTGAATTGTGGTATGTATTATTCAAAACAAATCTGATTCTTCGCCCATGGAGAACGCTCTTTTGTAGGTCTCTTTTCCTTCCTGAAATGACACCACCGTTTTGGTCTGTGTGTAATACTTGCACCCATTTCAGTTTACACGGATCTGTCGAATTAAACAAGAACATGAATATATACAGTTTCATCAAATGAAACCTTATAAATACATCAAAGTCTTATAGAAGTACAAATTTCTAATTTAACTTTCTTTGGTGTCCAATCAGACAGTGGACAATGCGACATCACAACTGGTGTCAACATCAGTCGATGACGATTATTAGAAATGACAAAATAAGCTGACGAGATATATCCATGGGGTGGTCCAAGCATCAGGATATCAAAATGCATCCAAATTGTATGCGGTGCGGTGCTCTTCACTAACGATACGCCTTTCAGCAAGATAGCACCCATTCCCTGTACAGCTACATTCACGCAGAGCATCCATAGGCGTCGTAATATAGAGAATGATCTATGCTCAGCTTTCCAATTCAAATTTGAGCCAGACTGAACACATGCCCCAATATGCCTAACAAACAACGTCCTGTAATGATAAGTAACCAGAACAATTGACGATAGTTTGGCGTCATTCTACAGACCTTGCATCTCAAGGGTATACACGTCACAGCACAAGACTCCAGTTGTGAGTGGTTACCAATAATTTGTAGGCAGGCTACTTGATTGTTACCGAAAACGTACTTATATATGCCTTACCGAATCTGTTCTCACTGAATATAAGATAAAAACAATATATTTGTGTCTATACTCCCACGTGTAACCGTCGGTATTCATGTAACACAACTGATAAACTATTGTAAATAGCGTTAAAACTTGACTCACTTAAACATGGTTGATGCAGTGCAGAGATGCCTCACTTTGACGTGTCCGCAGGTTCTAATTCCTCATTATTAACCTTGGAATTATTATTCATATTCTACTGGCTTTCATGGCGACCACTCTGACATATATAAGGGCAACGTCTGTTTGGACTTTAATCTCACATTAATCTGATACTAAAAATCTGCTGAAAGCTGTATTAACGCAACTCATGAACTCACCATCAATGTTATTCAGACACTCAAGTACTAACATGGTACGCGTTATGCAGATACTAAAGTACTAACAAGGTACGCTCTTACCCCGATTTATCTTCTTCAAATATGGAGTATGCATGTTGAAATGAGAAATTCCGTTTTTAATCCTGACATGTCCGCAGCCCGTCGGTTCCAATTCTTTAAGCATACAGCTTTGACTCAGATGAGTGGAAAGTAATATGAAAGTATGCAGGTCCATCCTTGCTGTGCCACATGAACGTGTTCATATATGTCCGACGTATAAATGATGCCTCTGATAACGATGATTCAGAATGAATACCACCTCAACCAGTTAGAGGTGTACACGTATAAGCATAACTGAATATTCAATCACATAGAGAACATGATACATTCAAACTATCAGAATTCCGACGGCGGCACATGACTTGACAGCAGAAGAAAACAATCAATCAGCCTCAAGCAGATGGAGTTGGCGTACAAACAGGGAGAGTAGTCTAGGGCCAATCTAGTCTGGCATTCCAAACAATTGCATTTAAATCCTTTGTCTGTCAACTCACATTTTTAGGTATACTTATCTAGCAATTCGAGACACAAACACCAAACGCTTACACAAACACATAAAAGCATACACACACTAGAGAAATAGTACTACAAGACGGAGCTCCCATGTCAGATACGTCGAAAATGTATAGTTCTTTTACACAGAATAAAATGCTAAAATTCTTTGGAATAGATCCGAATACAGCCTTTATGGATAACTATTAAATATAATTAAATTATGAATCACACTCAATCATATGTAACATTCTCTTTTCATGTCATTCGGTCTTACAAAGAGGGGCAGTAGGGTAATCTAGAAGTTAAAGTTTTCGCTCGTCACGCCGAAGACCCAGGTTCGATTTCC